TCCCCTACATAAAAAAAGCATATCGCAACGTCTGGAATGGCTCATGCAAATACAAGAAGCTCGAATTCCAGAAATGCAGAGACGTTGCTACATTAACTACCGTATTTACTCGCATAATCGGCGCATTCACATAATAGGCGCACCCCTAGTTTGGTCGCGGAAAATTCGATTTTTTTTAATTCCGCGCATATTAGGCGCACCCCGAACTTGGCCGTGATCAGAAACGATTCTACCCCCCAGCGGTACAGTTGGAACGCGGCCGTACCCTGAAGAAAAAAAAAAGCAAATCGACGAGCAAATAAAAAAAAATTCGAAGTGCAACGACCTAACCAACGTGTTTGTCGAAATAAAACTTGAAAAAAAAAAAAAAAGGCGTCCATGAGCAAAAAAAAAAAAAACGGCTGTTCCATCAATACTGATACCCCCCAAATCGCCGCGCTTTTTGGAGGTCACGTGTACAACGCCGGGGGCTCGATCGCCATCACCACCATCAGAGAAAAAGAAAGAAATGCCATTTTGCAAGCGGTGTGCGTATGTTGTGGTCGTGTATTGAACTTTGGTTCCACCATGGGGAAGTACGCGAGGAAACGTACGCGAGGAAGTCGTCAGGAAAAGCTTCAAGAAGACGGGCATCTCGAACACACTGGATGCGAGTGAGGATGACATGTTGTGGGGTGCGGATGATTCGGACACCGAAAACGAATCCCCGCTCGGCGAGGATGAATGTGTGATCTCCGACTCTGACTCCGAATAGGGAAAAGGAGGAACAGCTACGACATTTGTGTAAATAAATTTTACGTGTGTGTTTGCAGTTGACGGCTCTCGCTTGTTCATTAAAAGGTACGTAGGTATGTTTGTTTTATGCTGAATTAATTGGTAAACGATAAAGTCGCCTTTTACAGATGGTTCGGAATTCCTACAGTGTCTTCAGAGAGGAACTGCAGAAAAAAAAGGCAGAAAGACGAGTGGAGTCAGGTGTTCAGAAGAACAAGAAAAGAGTGGCTGCTCTTGTCAAAGAACTGGAAGAAAAGAAGCGAAGGCTGCTTAGTGACTCGCTGACGAAAGCTAGTCTCCTGCAAGAAAAAATAGATGCTCTTAAGAAGTAACACATTAGTGCTTCAAGAACTCTTGTGCAGTGGCTGACACAAACAGCAGAAGCCGATGTGTGTTTGCATAGACTTTGTGCAATAATACTCTAGTCAGCGACTACAATTTGCAGTGAATTATTTATGTTTGCGCTCTAAATAAAACAATGTTTTGTCGTCTGCACTAATGATCTTACATGTATTGCCGCCTATGCAGAGGTCGGGGAATTTCACTTGAAATTGTCAGGGAAAACCTGGAAAAGTCAGGGAATCTTAAAAAAATAATTTGCTAGGCACCCTGCGAATGCTGTTGAGGACAGGACTCACTCCATTCGCGCTGTGTCGAGGTTGTTCTGCATTCTGGAGCATGTTCTTAAGAGTCGCATGAAAAATTGGAAGAATCTTCAAGTCAAGTCATTCACAAGCACATCTTCGAATGAAGTTTTAATAAGTTTTTTTTTCATAACGATATTTAAAAAATAACAAGCAACAAAGAATCTGCATTTCATCGGCTCACCAAGCTCGCCTGATGAAATTGTAGCCACAAAATGCCCGTGCAGTTCTGTACCAAAATGGCATAAAGAGGTGTAAGAACATATCTAGAATTGCATTCTTAAATAATCCAACAAAGTGCAAATGTTCAAAAAGGCATCAGCACAAAGAAAGACTGACGGTATTTGATATGCAGGGAGTTGTGGAGTAATGGGGTCTGTCTGGATCCAATGAGCGGAGTGCAAGAAGTGGGCTTAGGAAAATTGCGTGAGCGCCCACGAAGTGCATTGCAAGTGCTTCAACTGGAACAACTGAAAAATTAAATATTTTTCACACTGTCTTGTTTTGCCCCACAGATTGGGACAAAATGAGATACCTGGTACAATTTTCATTTCTTTTTTATGAAGAACTTTCGATCTGTGGCAGCATGGTCATGTTTCTGTGGCACATGCCTTATACCCAAAGTAATGTTCCTGCACTAACATTTAACCCTTTACCGTCTAATGTTGTGAATTCGCAACATAACGAAAAACTTCGAGCAAGGAAGTCACGAAATGCAAGCCGCCTTTAATGCCAGCTGTGAAGTACTGACGAGAAACGTATATGTCGCCATGAAAAATGTAATGCTAGCTTGTGTTAGATATTTTATGCTAGAACCAATTGTTTTGTAACTGATGGCGGAGAGCACAAAGCGCATGCAAGAGAGCTTACTTCTTTGTTCTTTTCCACCTGGATGACGCGAGTTCTATCTTCAATATTTTGTTTTTCTTATGTGAACTCGCTCAAGACATGGCACACGACATGTTGCATAATTCTGAAGTACGTTTTTCCTTCCAAGGTCCTCGCTTCTGTGGCATGTGGAGAAATCAAGACATACATAAAAGTTTGCATTAAAGATGCATTTCAGATAATTTACTTGTGGAATCATTCAACAGTTGCTATTAATTAAGGCTGGAAAATTAAAACGATTTCTATTTTCTACGGCAGTTTCATCATTCAGGCATTGAAGGGTTAATAGGAACAAGTAAAATAAAAACCTATGTTCACTATCTTTATTTTTGGCCGGATTTTGCCTTACCCTGGTTACACAAATCAGCGTAGTCTTTGTGCTTACGAGCTTTGAATGCACTAGTGGCTTTGTTTGTTGCTGTTTTGCTTTTGTCTAAAACAAAAGAATGGACTGTTGTGAGCTTTGTGACCTGATTTGAATAGAGGAGCCCAAAAAGTCTATGTGCTGAAATGAAACTGCTGAACATGCACTGATTTTTGTTTCGTGACAAAGTAGCTTCAACCCATGTGAAGCCAGAGATTGCATGAAGAATAGGCAAATTTGTGTATTACCCACAATTCCTGTGCTCGACAAAGTGTCGAGCATTACAGCTCCCATAGTAGTGAAGGAAGTGACATCTTAATTTTTTTTAGTATACTTTGAAGCCGGAAAAGTACTGTTTTGAAGCAGTCTTAAGTGTTTCTGCAGCACATCAAAGCATCTCGTAAAAATTATTATTTAATATAATAATATGTCTTACAGAAAAGCGATGTAAATTTCAAGAAGCAAACAATTAAAAAATAGGCTGGTTATAAAAAAAAGTGCTGTCAAATGAGCGACATATTTAAAATACTAGTACTTGTAGCAGAAATCAAATGAAACTGGTAAAGCTGAGCACCACATTTTAGAACTAACCGCAGTCCCGCATAACTGTTGCCAAATAAGCAGTAGATAGATAACCAGTATCAATTAAAATCAATCCTGCTCATTTTCACATGATTTCACCACACCGGCCTACATGTCGAGCTGAAAGCGAAAAAAAAAAAAAGCTGCAAAATGACTCATATGGCTGATATGCTGGATTTTGTCACACGAATGAAATCAGAGCGAATAATGCTACACACTAATAGCATACTGGGATGATAGTGTACAGATTTCTTTCAGTTTTTTAGGACTAATGAGTGGGTCGAACAGTAAAAGTTCATTTTTTATCTCTCAGTGCCATTTCCGAGCAGGTTTGAAGCAATTACTAACAAAAATTACAGTTTGGAGCAGCATGGAGCTGCGCTTTGATCACTGCCACAGACACTAGTGCCAGAGTTCCCTGTAGTCTACTAATAAGAAGTTCCATCGCGGGGGTCTGGTGGCTAGGGTACTCGACTGCTGACCCGCAGGTCACGGGAGCGAATCCCGGCTGCGACGGTTGCATTGCCGATGGAGGCAAAAATGCCGTTAGGCCTGTGTGTTCAGATTTGGGTGCACCTTAAAGAGCTCAGGTAGCCGAAATTTTCAGAGTCCTTCTTTAAGGCATCTCTTATAACTATACGGTAGTTTTGGGATGTTATATCCCACATATCAATCATCTACTTATAGGAAACTGTGATGCAAGATACCCGATGACAATGATAACTATAGAACATCAATTTTTTTCCCATGAATGAAAACAAATAGAGGGCGTAGAAGGTGGGGGCAAAATTACGAAAACGCTAAGTGGACTCAGGGTTGAGGACACAGGAAGCAGTGGCTAAACGGCAAAGCCAAGAACAAGCTGCTATCAAAAATGAGTCAATCTCGCAATGACGCACACGCTGAAATACACCCATAGAATGAAATCGTTGTCATGACAGTGTATTTGGCCCGAGATCCCTCCCAAGGCAACGTAGAAAATTTAGACATGCACGATTATAAAACAAAGTACAAGAACAACCGCTTCATACACATTGTAGATTTCAACCAACACTGACATCACAGACGACTGGCTTGTGCAGTACAGTAAACACCCGTTACATCGAACTCGCTTCATTCGAATCATTACTTTCATCGAAGTGTCACACAGTCCCGACCCAAACACATGTATTTTAGACCAGATTACTCGAAGCATGGCGAAAGCTTGCTCTGCTTAGAGCAGGCGAGCGACCGTCCACGCTGCCGAAGTACCTGTGCGCTTTTTTACATGTCCACGTCCCGTGCCGAGCAGCCTTTTTCTAGGCTGAGCGAGCGACATTCGTGCTAGCATCGCCATGACCGGTGCAGACTGGTGCAGACGGCATGAGGGTCTCCGTGGCGTGGATTTTAGCCCAACCTCTCTTCGTGCCCTACTCTAGCATGGAGGCGATTGCTAGCATGTCGTCTGCTCACCGTTACACTAAAGCCCCTATATTTTTGGAAAGTAGCAACTTTCTCGGATCTTTGCCGCCGTTTCCCTTACCCGCCACTTCCCGCCTCGCACACTCTCTCAGGAGGGGAGACGACAGGGCTTCCGCGGGCCCTAATTGGCTGCGGGGAGCGAAACATCACCCGTGACGTCTCCGCCCCTTGTCGAGCGGGGGCCAAACTTGTTTGCCTTTTTCTTTTTTTTTTCCGCTGGTCGCCATTTGCCGCCCTGTCGCCACGGCGACTTTCAGCGCGCACTGTGCTTCTTCGCGCTTGTTTTTATCATCGCAATGCCGTTCTGCTGCGCCTATCAATGTAATAGCAGAAGCGAAAAAGGATTCTCGCTGTTCAACATTCCGTGGGGAAAAAGAGATGTCCAGCGCAAGAAGCAGTGGCTGCACAATATCGGAAGAAAAGACTTTGCGCCTACCAGAAGGACTTCTTTGTGTGAGGTAAACTATAATTTTTGGTATTTCCCCGCCGCCACGAGGAGTTCATAGAATGTGGTGAATTCGCTCTTTCACATTCACAGCTATTTCTAATTTTTGCGAAACCAGGCTTCTCTGTTTTTTTTGCGGAGAAGCGGGTCGGGACACCGCAAAGTGAGGTACAGCAGAATGCGCGCCTCTGCATCGATTGCAACTTTAATGCGGATTTAAGATACCTTTCTTAAAAATATATACATTTCCCTCTCTATTGGTCTGTAGCGACGTGCTATTTCGGTAGAATTTTTTCCACGTGTCTTTAAAAATTGCTGCACAGCTGTATTTTGTTTTAGACATGCTGTAAAGAAGTTTTGTTATAGTAAACAAAAAGCCGCTTACTGTAATATGTTAGTCATGTCCAGCAACACGTAATTTTTCAATGTTGCAGTATTTAAATTTGTATTTTGTATATTTACCTGGGTTGCCCATTCGTGAGGTACCGGTTAGAGCTCATGTACAAATATGAACTTACTAAATCACAACAGGAAGACATTGAGGCCATCATTCAGCTCTTTTTTTTTATTTTTTGCAAATCGGAATGGGTCAAAACCAATACCTGAGAAGTGTTCGGGATACCACAGTTTCAAATAATCGTATTATTGTTTTGCAGCTCCATTTTACTGAAGATCAGTTCGAACCATTGATACTGCAGAAGTATGGAAAAAAGAAGTTGAAACCAAACGCCGTTCCAACTTTGTTTTCGCACCGGCCGGCTCCGAAGCAACGAAAACCTCCCGCCAAAAGATGCGAAATTCGCACACACTTGCACCAAGGTGAGCGATCTCAGGAATGACAATAACCTCTACTGATAATTTACAATCGATATGCGTTATCTTGGCGTTTTGAATTAGTGTAGCCAATATTATCCGAAGTTATTTGCGCGGATAAATGCACGCGAGTGTCATTCAGTGCATGACTTCATTGTTGCCGCAGGCAAGGTGAACTTCGGGACATGTGAAAGTAGCAGCGGTCCAAGAACATGTTGCCTCGTTATCGCCTGGTTCTGGGTCCAACTCCTCAACTTCGTTCGTTGGGGAGAAATATGCGGGATCCTCCTCCGCCAGTCTGTCGGTGCCGACGCAACAGACAACTCGCAGTGATGGGTTTGGATGACGAAAGCGTAATAGCGCCTGTGGAAAGCCTGCCCGAGGTTTCTCGGAAGATTCTTTTTTTGCTGTTTGCGATTAATGTTGAAGCACCTTCTGTTTGTTCACAGGGTTTTTATGTTAAATTTTATTTACAGCTGAAGTCCCACTAAGCCCGCAGTCCAGCAATAGCCAGGCACACATGGACATGGCTTTGTCAGGTGAGAAATGATAGCTTTGTTTAGGGCTTGTCGATTTTTTTTTTCTGATTTGCATTCCACAGGTTCGCTTGTTCCTGTGACTTCAATTGCCAGTGACAGCACAGCTTCAGATTCAAGTAGTCCTTTGGCTACTGCAGAACGTACGTTTTATCTATTTTGTTCTTTTTCCTCGCTTTCAACATCTGTCAAGAGGAGCTATGTTTAGGAAAACGATGATGTTCTAAGATTTGTCTTTTTTTGTTTTCAGCCGAAGAGCCCCTTCACTTGCCCACCAGTAACAGCGGCAATCACTTCATCACCAAAGATGTTTCTAATGGTAACCACTATCTTTAACGTGTGGCTTTGAAATGTATGCAACAATAATTCTTTGTGCAGGTTCCCCTCATGCAACACACCAGCTTGTGCCTGCCGCCAGTCTCGGAAGTGCCTCCTCTGTCTTCGCACCTGGAGGCCTGTAAGCAACTTTCTGTGGTGATCTGTAACGCATACGATGGTTTTGTTGCCTCAGGCTTTTCGTGTCTTTTTTAGCATCTCAGCAGGCGCTGTTGGATCGGATAGCGCAGCTGGAGCGCCTTCAAGAGAACACCATGAGAAAATTGGTCACAGCAAGAAAGAGATACCGCAAAAGCAAAAACGAAAAGTCCTGCTTGAAGAAGAGGATTAGGGGCCTTTTCAATGAAGACCAAATGCGTTCGATGGAGCGGTTGTCAACCCAAGGAATGCGGTGGGAAGCCAGCACCCTTGTTCACTCCCTGAGGCTGCGCCTGACTTGTGGATCCCGTGGCTAGAACTTCCTAAGAGAATATGGATACCCGATTCCGGTAGAAAGAACCAGGACTTCCGACCGATATTCTGGACCCCTTAAAGATGAAGGTATTCAATGCTCATAGCCAAAACTACGCTGCACGTGTGGAATGTACTGTAACGCGCAAATACCTACCCCATTCCATAATACTTGTTTACCTGGGCATATGTAATGTTTTTTTGAAATATCTTTTGGCGTTAGTCATAATTTAATTGCAGCGGAACTGCTTGGAACAACTTTTCCTTTATTTGCTGTTGCAGGTCAGCCTCGTGAAGCCTGAAGAGCGGCATGCAGCACTCATGATAGACGAAATGCAAATAACTTCAGGACTTGTGTACGACCACTCGTGCGGTGCCGTTCTGGGGGCACCCACGCTCCCTTTAGCAGATGGCTCTCTACCTGATGATAGCCTAGCTACCCATGGGTTAGTTTTCATGCTTGGTGGCCCGTCATCCAGGTGGAAACAGGTAGTTGGCTACCATCTTACAGAGAATTCTTTTTGCGCAAGTTCTCTTAAAGATGAACTCATCAAAATAATAACTGCATGCGAATCCCTAGGGCTCAAAATTCATGTTGTTTCGGACATGGCCGGTGGAAACATGGCACTGTGGAGCCGGTTCGGGATTCACGCTGGGAGGCATAGTAAGCCATCAACTAGTTGGGTCCACCCATGTGATCCAGCCAGACGACTGTGGTTCACGCCTGATGTTCCCCACCTTCTTAAAAACCTCAGAAACCACCTGACTTCTGGCCAGGCCATTTACCTCCCGGACGAAGTTGTTCAAAAGCACAAGCTGCCGACTGCTCGTGTGGACCTGGCCCATGTAAAGAAACTAGTTGAGGAAGATGGGAAAAGTGAACTTAAAATTGCTCCCCACCTTAACTCGTCCTGTGTTGACCCGAAACATTACAACAAAATGAAGGTAAAGTTCGCGTTCAGCCTTTTTCACAATGACACCGCAGCCGGTTTGCGCCTTTTAGTAGACAGCGGTAAACTGGAAAAGGAAGCACTTACCACCGCGTGGTTTATTTCAAAGGTGTTTCGGTGGTTCAGACTAATGACATCGCGGACTACGAAGCTAGCTTTTAGTCATGCTGTGGAAGCATCCTACGACGATGCTGTAAAGTGTCTTAAGGATACTCTCGACCTTTTTTCTAAACTTTCAATAGGGGCCCCAAAGAAAGCACCCTGGAAACCAGTGCAAACCGGGCTCACTGTAGCCCCTTTAACAGCTCTGAGTGTGCAAGCCGAAATGCTTGACAAGTACCACTTCCACTTCTTTTTGCTGAGCAGACTAAGCCAAGACGCACTTGAAAATTTGTTCTCAACTTTTCGGGCGAAGAATCCTATACTCAGGCTGTATGATTTTAAATGTAGTCTGAGGAGCGCGACACTATCGCAGTTTCTGAGGCCAAGTAAAAGTGGAAGCTATGCGGATGATGAAGGTTTTTTGTTGGTGGGGCTAGAGCAGCATCAAAATGAAGAAACGACAGAGGAAGTCCAATGTCCGGATGACCTGCTTGATTTAAGTTCAGAGATCGAGCAAGTAGTAATCTACTTGGCGGGCTATGTGGCATCAAAGCTACGATCCACGCTCCGCTGTGAAAACTGCCGTGCTTCTTTGATATTGGACTATGCACCATCGAAGTTAATTGAGCTTAAGAATTTCTCACAGTCGCGACAGTCATTGACAAACCCCTCACCAGCCTTGGTAGAGACTGTGAAAATTGCTGAGAACTTTTTCCGCTCCAACAGAGAAGCACTGCTGAAAAATGCGGTCAGTAATGCACAACTGCAAGCCAGTGTAAAGAGCAGCATTACCTTCGTCACCTCTTTTACCATGTGCCATGACGTCCTCGAAGACATTTTGCATGTGTTCCTAAAGGTTCGAGTCCAAATACTTGTCAGGAACGAAGACGCAAAAGTAGCTACGATGAAAAGTAGCAAATGCGGTAGTAAAAGCGTTGGCATGCGGGCGGCTGTTGCCGAGGTTCGTTGAGAGTGCGAAGTTATTTGGTGCATAATCTGTATAATTTGTTAGTAACATATATTCTTTCTTGTTCGTGTTCTTTTCTGATTGTCTTCTTGAAATGCATGTATATACCCTAAAATGTAATGTACGCGCCTTTCATTCTCATGAACATGTCTTCCAAAAATGTGTGTCCAGTATTTTCTGGGTGCATCATGATGTCCTAATTATATTAAAGATGAAGTACAAATAAAGAGTTTTCGTAGAGTGCTCTGATCAACGTGTATTTATTCGTTTTCATAAATATATCGTCACAAGCGAATGGGCATTACAGAGGGGAGTGGGTACAGAAACATAAACTTCATAGTAAATAAAAACACTTTAAGCATGGTACAATATATAAAATGTTAGCTAAAGCGAAAAAACCAAACGCCACAAACGGAGTGGCAAAGTACCTGGTAATACAATAACAGGGTTCTGTGTTTGTCGCCGCTTTTCTCGTCGCCACTTCTTCGTTAAGAGGTTAACACCTGTCCATCACAATCGTCTGACCTTTGCATAGCCATCGTGGCGTCTGCATGTGAAAGTCCTAATAATAATACGTAAAAACGCCAAAGCAACAAGCGATCCCATTGACCCTGCCGCAGCGTCTCGAGCGTGGAGGGCGGCAAAGCGTGCCGTGTGCAGCGCGCCGGCCGGTGCGAGAGCGAAATCCGAGGAGGAAAGCGGCCGGAGGGAGGAGAGTGTCGCTACTTTCAAAATATAGCGGCTTTACGTTACGCCGCTGGCCATGCCGGTGGTGTCACGTGGCACCACTGGCGTGCTCCCTGGCCCTTAAGTTTTTTCCATCAATGTTTGGAAGACACACGTGCGCATTTGTTGTGCGAGATCTGTGTGAGCCCGTGACGTTGTGTGTGCACTTTGTGTGCGTTTATTTACGGTCAAGTGAACATGAAAACACCGGTGCATGCATGGAAGTGTATGACGTTGGAGCATAAAGTTCAACAGATACGTGAGGCGGAAAAAAGGAGGTGGGCAAAAGTCTGAAATTGCAAGACAATTCGCAATACCGCCATAAACATTATCAACTCTTCTGAATAAAAGAATTCCATACTGGGCGGCTTGGAGAAGAATTTCTCAGCCAAACGAAAGCGCAACCGTGACTCTATGTACCATGAAGTGAGAAGAGTGCTCCTTGAATGGAACGCTAGAAATGCAAACCTTCCTGTAGATGGGCCTGCATTGATCTCAAAGCCAAAGCCCTAGTCAGCCAAGTGGGCAAGCAAGATTTTGAGTGAAGCATCGGTTGGCTTGAACGTTACAAGTGAGAGCATGGCGTGTCTTCAAAATCAAATGTTGGTGACAGGGCAGCTGCGGACCGCGACGTCGTGGACGGATTGTCACAAGCAATGGCTGAGCGCCCTAGGAAAATAGACATGTAAAACTTGGACGAGGCGACACTCTTTTACATACATTGTCGAAGTGCACGCACACTGCTCCTGGCAGAACTTCATCAGGATGTAAACAAACCAATGAGCGCCTTACAGTGCTGTTCGGCGCTCATGCGACAGAGGAGGACAAGCTTCCTTTCTATAGGAAAGGTTCCAATAGAGAAAGCTATTGGTCCTATAGAGAAATTTTATTGGGTCTATAAGAGTTATATTGTGACTTTATAGGTCTTATTTGAATTGTATTGGCACCGATAAAAAGTCAATTGACCCCAACTATTTGTCACCAATAAGACCTATAGGTTGTACCTATTTGTCACCTATAGAACCAATAGACACGTATTGGCACCATTAGGGTACCTATGGGCGACAGCTATTTGTGTGTATTGGTACCAATACCCTCTAATAGGTTAGATGCATTTGTCGTCTATAGAACCAAT